AAACCTGTGGGTGGGATAATAGAAAATATTAGGAATTTAATGCAAAATAAGCGTAAGTGTTATTTTGTGAAACTTTCATTTCATTGGTATATGTATACAAATATTCATATATATGTCTACTGGTCTGTGCTAGATAATGTTCTAATGTGGATTGTAGTCATAAAGATTGAAAAATACCAGACTAGAGAGCTAGAAATCATATTTGACTCATCCTTCTGCCTTATCTCCTACAGCCACTGAACTAAATCTGCTGATTCTACTTCCTCAATTTCTCAAATGCATCCTATCTTCCTCTTCCCTGCTAACCACTGATCTAGTTCCAGTCCTTTCTGGATGACTGCAACCATCTCTCCAATCCCTTATGATTATAACAGTGGAAGTGAGAAATAGATTTAAGGGACTAGATCTGATAGACAGAGTGCCTGATGAACTATGGACTGAGGTTTGTGACACTGTACAGGAGACAGGGATCAAGATCATCCCTAAGAAAAAGAAATGCACAAAAGCAAAATGGCTGTCTGAGGAGGTCTTACAAATAGCTGTGAAAAGAAGAGAAGCAAAAAGCAAAGGAGAAAAGGAAATATATATCCATTTGAATGCAGAGTTCCAAAGAATAGCAAGGAGAGACAAGAAAGACTTCCTCAGCGATCAATGCAAAGAAATAGGGGAAAACAATAGAATGGGAAAGACTGGAGATCTCTTCAAGAAAATTAGAGATACCAAGGGCACATTTCATGCAAAGATGGGCTCAATAAATGACAGACATGGTATGGACCTAACAGAAGCAGAAGATATTAAGAAGAGGTGGCAAGAATACATAGAAGAACTGTACAAAAAAGCATCACTCACCTAGAGCCAGACATCCTGGAATGTGAAGTCAAGTGAGCCTTAGGAAGTATCACTACGAACAAAGCTAGTGGAGGTGATGGAATTCCAGTGGAGCTATTTCAGATCCTAAAAGATGATGCTGTGAAAGTGCTGCACTCAATATGTCAGCAAATTTGGCCACAGCAGTGGCCACAGGACTGGAAATGGTCAGTTTTCATTCCAATCCCTAAGAAAGGCAATGCCAAAGAATGCTCAAACTACTGCACAAATGCACACATCTCACACGCTAGCAAAGTAATGCTCAAAATTCTCCAAGCCAGGCTTCAGCAATATGTGAACCGTGAACTTCCAGATGTCAAAGCTGGATTTAGAAGAGGCAGAGGAACCAGAGATCAAATTGCCAACATCCGCTGGATCATTGAAAAAGCAAGAGAGTTCCAGAAAAACATCTATTTCTGCTTTATTGACTATGCCAAAGCCTTTGACTGTGTGGATCACAAAAAACTCTGGAAAATTCTGAAAGAGATGGGAATAACACCACCTGATCTGCCTCTTGAGAAATCTGTATGCAGGTCAGGAAGCAACAGTTAGAACTGGACGTGGACCAACAAACTGGTTCCAAATTGGAAAAGGAGTACATCAAGGCTGTATATTGTCACCCTGCTTATTTAACTTATATGCAGAGTACATCATGAGAAACACTGGGCTGGATGAAACACAAGCTGGGCTCAAGATTGCCAGGAGAAATATCAATAACCTCAGATATGCAGATGACACCACCCTTACAGCAAAAAGTTAAGAAGAACTAAAGCACCTCTTGATGAAAGTGAAAGAGGAGAGTGAAAAAGTTGGCTTAAAGCTCAACATTCAGAAAACTAAGATCATGGCATTCGTTCCCATCACTTCATGGCAAATAGATGGTGAAACAGTGGAAACAGTGGCTGACTTTATTTTGGGGGGCTCCAAAATAACTGCAGATGATGATAGTAGCCATGAAATTAAAAGACGCTTACTTCTTGGAAGGAAAGTAATGACCAACCTAGACAGCATATTAAAACGCAGAGACATTACTTTGTGAACAAAGGTCCATCTAGTCAAGGCTATGGTTTTTCCAGTAGTCATGTATGACTGTGAGGGTTGGACTATAAAGAAAACTGAGTGCCAAAGAATTGATGCTTTTGAACTGTGGTGTTGGAGAAGACTCTTGAGAGTCCCTTGGACTGCAAGGAGATCCAACAAGTCCATCCTAAAGGAGATCAGTCCTGGGTGTTCATTGGAAGGACTGATGTTGAAGCTGAAACTCCAATACTTTGGCCACCTGATGCGAAGAGCTGACTCATTTGAAAAGTCCCTGATGCTGGGAAAGATTGAAGGCAGGAGGAGAATTGGATGACAGAGGATGAGATGGTTGGATGGCATCACTGACTCAATGGACATGAGTTTGGGTAAACTCCAGGAGTTGGTGATGGACAGGGAGGCCTGGCATGCTGCGGTTCATGGGGTCGCAGAGTTGGACATGACTGAGCAACTGAACTGAACTGAACTTCAATCCCCATGCCACTTGTCTTTATTCTTACCAGAATAATCATCCTAAAATGTAAATTTTTGCTTATTTAACTCCTTCTGTGGTATCCTATTGCCCATAGAACACTTCCAAGTTTCATAATATGGTCCCTGCCTGTCTCTCTAACTTTATTTGCTGCCATTGCAGTATCACTGGTAACACCACACCACTTTCCATTTTCCCCACACTCCCTGAAGAGTTTTATTTTGTTTCATTTCTTTCGTTTTTGCCTGATAAGGGAAGGGAGAGCCTTTACTCCCATCCCTTTTACCTGGTGAACTTCAGCTTATTCATTCTCACTTTGAACAAGAAGTCTTACACCCCTACCTTCCCTGCCCCTGGTGTTGCTTCTCTGTATTTCCAGAATATTCTGGCCATCTCTCATTACCCAGCCACGTTATTTTATTGCTTTTTTCCCCCAATTCAGATGTCCAGTTTATTTATTTATTTTTAACTTTTTATTTTGTATTGGAGTATAACCAATTAAAGATGCTGTGATAGTTTCAGGTGAACAGTTAAGGGACTCAGCCATACATATATATGTATCCTTTCTCCCCCAGACTCCCCTAACATTAGCCAGGTTGTTTTAAAATTATTTGTTTAGTTAGTGTTCAATTCTTTTATGGAAAAAAACTGACCATATTCATTTTTGTGCTTAAAACAATGTCTGGCTCTTATTGGGTGTTCAGATGACTGAATGGGTGAGTGACTGAAGATCTAGAAAGTTAAAATGACTTTTTCATTCATGTTGCTTGTAGGTGACCAAATTGAGACTAGAAAAGAGGTGCCTCTTTTGTTGCCTCATGCTACAGACCAATATTTCTTCTAGTACATTGTGTAAAACCGGATGAGTGCAACATTTATTGTGTAATACTGAATAAGTCACTTTAAGCTAGTTTGCATATGATTAAGATGATTAAATTATTCCTTTGTAAATAATGAAGTTTTTGATATACTATGCCTATGGGAGCCTGTTTCTGGTACATGAATAGTTTTGATTGAAATTTAATATTCACAATGAGGTAAGACAGTGCAAGTAGATTTCAAAGTAATTTGGAGAAATCAAAATGGTCTTTTAATGACTATATTTTGAGAAGTCAGCTAAAATTTAAAAGATAATGTGACAGATTTCAGGTATACTGTTTAAAAGATTCTGTGGGTTTTAGTTTAAAATGCCTAAAGCTAGAAATGGTGAAATTTGGAAAAAAATTACATTGTAGGAATAGCTTAATAATGTTTGAATCAAATTTGTAGATACAAATTCTAACATACAGTGACTCTTATGCCTTCACGTTCTTCCATTTTCTGTAGCACATTGCAGAAATCAGTTGGGATTTAGAAAGTAAGACCCCAGACATGAGTTTATAGAAGAAAAGAGAAGCATATTCCAATCTGGGTATATTTCCAAATTCAGAAATTTTAAAGAAACAGGTTTTTTTTTTAAGTGAAGCATCAGAAAAAGAAATGGGTCAAAGCTGAAATATTCCTTAATATCATCCAATATGTTTTGTGTATGTATGAGAGTTTCCCCAGTTGTTTCTAAAAATTACTTTTACAGTTGATATATTGAAACAGGATCCAGCAGTGTCCACACATTGTTCGGTTGGTATGTCCTTGAGCCTTTCTTTATCTATAACAGTTTCCTCTCCCTTTTCCCTCCCGTGCCTTTTATTTATTTATTTAAAAAATTGTCATGTTTATTTTTTCACTATGTTGCAAAGTCAGTAAGAGTTGGAATGTATTATTTTATCATTAAAAATTGTTCCTTCCCTTCTAGGCACTATCTAGGGCTCTGAAAATCTTTCAAGTGAATGTCAAATGAAGTAGGTCTTCTGGGAATCCTAGTTGAGTTCCCAAGGGCTAGGAAGGCTATTTTCTTCATAAGTCCTACCCAGTTTAGGGCATCATAAAAGGCCCTGCAGCTCTTAGTCTCCCCACTGTATCCACTAGGTTAGCCAGAACCTACCAGTTTGAGAGACGGGTAGATGTGCCTGGCTGCCCCACCAAGAGATTGGACTGATGGGCCTCCTCCCATGGTTTCAATGACTAGAACCCAAAGGTAGCTTTCTACTTTGGGGACTGGGTACTCAGCATATGTAAGTTCACTGGAACCCTGTGTAGGAAACTGCCAGGTCTGGTTATAAGAAAAGTTTGTGCCATCACCCCCACCCACATGTTTCCCAGGAAGCAGGTGTCCTGGAGACAGAGTATGTAAGGGCTCTACAATCTTCTGTGTGGTTATTTGTGATATTTTTTCTTTCCCTATATTTATGAGGCTCCTAGGAAGGAGCCAGGAGCGTGTAGACCCCAGCTGGGGAGAGTAAAGGTGACTGATTCCAGTTTTCTGTGTGTCCTTAGCTCTGTACTTGCTTGTATCGCTGCTGGCAAGGTGAGCAGGCCTCCCCGTGTTTATGATCCTAGGCTTTCCACTTGTGTATTCCCAGGCTGGCAAACCTTGGAGCCTCCGGGCTCTGAACACTAGACAGTGGTCATTAAAACCCGGCTTGAGTCTCTGTTCTGGCATTAAAAAAATTGTTCCTGACACCTAATAGACAATGTTTGCTGAATAATGTTAATAATACTGAAGGTCTGTGTTTTATTCCTACAGGTTGATCTGAAAGACTACATGTTCAGTGGACTGAAGGATGTAACAGTAGGTCGCTTACCTGGGAAAGTGGCAGGACAACAATTTCTCATTCAAGACTGTGAGAACTGTAACATCTATATTTTTGATCACTCTGCTACCGTTACTATTGATGACTGTACTAACTGTGTCATTTTTCTGGGACCCGTGAAAGGCAGCGTGTTTTTCCGGAATTGCAGAGATTGTAAGTGCGCATTAGCCTGCCAACAGTTTCGTGTGCGGGACTGTAGAAAGCTGGAAGTCTTCTTGTGCTGCGCCACTCAGCCCATTATTGAGTCTTCCACGAATATCAAGTTTAGCTGTTTTCAATGGTACTACCCTGAATTAGCTTTCCAGTTCAAAGATGCAGGGCTCAGTATCTTCAATAATACCTGGAGTAGCATTCACGACTTTACACCTGTGTCAGGAGAACGCAACTGGAGCCTTCTTCCAGAAGATTCTGTCGTTCAGGACCATGTTCCTCTACCTACTACTGAAGAGCTCAAAGCTGTCCGCGTTTCCACAGAAGCCAGTAGAAGCATCGTTCCAGTGTCCCGGGGTCAGAGACAGAAGAGCAGTGATGAGTCATGCTTAGTGGTATTATTTGCTGGTGATTATACTATAGCAAATGCCAGAAAATTAATTGATGAGGTAAGGAAAAGAGAGAGAACCAAAACAGATATACACCTATATAGGAACAAACCACTTCCTGGAGAACATCCATTCTTTTCAAATTGGCTATTAGAAATACAGGCAATCCTTAAATTATAGTCCTCTGCCCACTATGGATTTATCTGAAGCTAGGCCTCAAATACTTTCCCAAAGAAACTTTAACAACATAATTCAATTCATGAAGCATCCGTTAAGCACTCATTATGTGGAAGTTACTGTTACCATATTTCATTGATTATAGGATATACCTTTGTTTTCCAGTTTTGTTTCTCTGAAATGTGTCTTACAACTGTTGGAAGTTTAGAGCTGATGAAATGTAATATATGCTGGGAGGAGAGATACACAGACAAAATTATCTGCCCTCAAAGAATTTCCATTCTTTATCACAAAAGTAGTACTACAAAGTGAAGCATGACCTTTTATAATTACTTACTGGGGAAATTTATCTAGAGTTTTTAATTATTTAGCGTGTGGGAAAGACATTTAGGAATTCAACTGTTGGAGCTTGTTTTGACTGTGAGAGCAACCTCCACATTACTTTCCTTACTTCACTTTGCCCTATTGCCATGAAGAGGAAGTTCGTGTGATAGAATGAGGTGGCAGCTGGGACACCAGAGGTTGTAGGCTCATGATCAGGGGCTTTTAGTGCATTCAGGAGTAGAGAAGAGTTCTTTGGGTAGCAAAATTCACTTGAGAAATAGTGGGGATCTGGAGGTTAGGGGTTCCAGAAGTAGTAGTTCCTGGTTGGTGGGTGCTCCAATGGGGAGGCAGCAGTAGGATGTATTGATTATCCATTAATCAAGCTTTCTTCAGGAAGTCTCTTTGAATTTGAAAATCAAACTTCCAGAAATGGAGAGGTGAACAGAAAACTCTTTTTGAATGGATTTTTTTTTATGTTGTAACACTTCTGTCAAAAAGAATGGTTTTAGAAAAAAAAACAACTACAAGTGACTGCTTCTCTGTAGCTTATACATTCCACAATGTAGAAAGCCCATGTCTGAAATCTACAAAGTATATCTGAGGTCCAGTTTTCCAAACAACTGAAGCCAAGTATAGTCTTAAGAATTTGATATTTTCTTTTTTGATTATGCCAATCTGATAAACATGTCCTGTGGATATGGTGGGATGTAGAAAAAATGCTCTGGCTTTTGAGCTGTCTAATCACATGTTAATCCAACATCTGAGGTAAACATTTTCATTATACTGTATGGTGATTTTTTTTTTAAATCTACATACAGTTTTCAAAAGAAGTAATTATTCCGGTTAAACTCCTTTTTGGTTGATAGTTCAAAGAGGACATAAAGAATGTATAATATGTTTAAAGAAAAAAGCCATCGAAGCAAACACTGTCATTCTTCATGAGTCATCAGACATTCTTAACCTTTTAACTTGGTATCTGATATGTGAAATGACAGGTTGTGTACACTTGAAAGTAACCTGACCAGGAAGATTTGTGTTCTTTATATAGCCTTCTGGATTACAGAATAACTGAAATAAAAATGCAACAATAACAAGAATAAAAATGATGACAGTAATAATGATAGCTAACATTTATATAGTGTTTATTGTATAGTATTTAAGTGAATTAACTCACTTAATTCAGAATAACCTATGAAATAGGTTCCATTGTTCCTCTTTATACTGATAAGAAATTGAGTCACAGAGAAAGTAAGTAACCAGCAAGAGGTCACTCCCTGGTGAGTAGCAGAGCCATGATTTAAATCCAGGGAGTTTGGCACTGTAGACCATAGTCTTAACCCTTAAGCGTGATACTGTTATGCTGCCTCAGAGGTAAAGGAAAGTTGATAAATGCCTGGTGGAGTAGAAGTGTGACCAAGAGTGTGTGAAGGTAAAGCAGATACTACCCTCCAGCCTAGAAGGAAAAACCATGGAACTTTTTGGCTAGAGTATCCTAACCTAATTCTGAAATCACAGAATAAAGAGAACAAAAAGAAGAAAATGCCAAGTACATGTGAATAGGGTATCACAACATGCTGAAAGACCAGTGACTTACATATTAAGAGAGAGATTACATAGTTTTTTTTAAAAATGAAGCTAGAGTTCCCTGGACAATATGTGTAGAAGCTAGTTAGTGCTGAGATGGAAAAAATAAAACTTGGGTCTTTCCATATCATAACACAAATGTCTTAAAACAGCTTAGACTAAAACTGTGATTGCTAGCTCTGGTTTTGTTAAACCCTAGGAGTAGCACAGAATTTTTTTCATACTGTTTTTATAAATTAAAGCTATTGTAATAGTTTTTTGAGATAGAAATTATAAAACTTGAGAGAGTAGAAAGTCTAGAAAAACTGGGTAAACCAGAAAACACATTCCATAGGAGTCAAGAGAAATTCTCATTGTTCAGTCGCTTGGTCATGTCCACCTCTTTGGGACCCGATGGACTACAGCACACCAGGCTTCCCTGTCCTTCACCATCTCCCAGAGTTTGCTCAAATTCATGTCCATTGAGTCAGTGATGCCATCCAACCATCTCGTCCTGTCATCCAAGATGGTTGGATGGCATCACGGGAGCCTCAGTTTTCTCATCTAAAAATCAAATTTCCTGCTGGCTCTTAACTGCATCACAGATATGCATAGGATAAAGTAAAAGTAGTTTGACTTGTTTCGAAGTAACCACATGCATACATGCTCAGTCATGTCCGACTCTTTGTGACCCCATAGACTGTAGCTCACCAGACTCCTCTGTCCATGAAATTATCCAGGCAAGAACACTGGAGTGGGTTGCCATTTATTCCTCTAGGGGATCTTCCCGACCCAGGGATTGAACCTACGTCTCCTACTTCTGCATTGGCAGGCTAGTTCTTTACGACTGCACCATCTGGGAAGTAAAGTATTGGACAATTTAAGTTGGGTAGTTACTGCTACTTTCAAGTATTTAAAAGTAGAATTTTCATGAAACAGTTTCTTCACATGTCTGCAGTGAAATATCAAACTAGATATACTAGTTTCATAGTTCATTACTTGATTTTAGGTAATGGTATTTTGAATTAATCATCTTATTTTTGTCAGTTTATGTGTCTGACTATAAAATGAGAGGTAATGAGCAGTCTAGGGAATTAGAAACAGATGTAGGATTGTTTCTGATATTTTAAGTAACTTTGCAGTCATCATCTGGCAGTGATGTTTATGTAATTTTCTTCTACTTTTTTAATGGGTGTTTCTTTTTTTTTCTGAGGCAACATTGAGGGCTCTGAAAAGGATTTGAGTTTGAATCCAATTTGATAAAATGGTATAGAATAATGTAGTCATAGAATGAAATACTATCAAACATTAAAACTGATTTTATAGTAGAATAGTTGGAAAATGTTCACAACTAAGTAAGTGAAAATTTATAGAATATTATGAATCTAATTTTTTAAGTAGATAAGTCTGGAAAGTTATATATACTAAAATGTTAATAGTTGTAGTTCTTCTTAGGAAGTGGATTAAGACCAGGGTTTTCTTGTTTTTAGTTCTATGGATTTTACATAAAACCTGTATTATTTCTGTAATGGGGGGAACAAAAACTGGAAGGGTAAAAGGAAGTATACCAGAACCTCCCTGGTGGAGTGGTCCAGTGGTTAAGACTCTGAGCTTCCACTACAGGAGGCATGGGTTTGATCCCTGGTTAGGGAACTTTTAAGATCCCACAAGCCATGTGGCATGGCCCAAAAAAGAAGGTGTACCTATTATAGCAGTGGCATCTTTGAGTAGTGGCAGTTTGGTCGATATTTCTTTGTTTTTGTTTTTTTTCTTAATGTTCTATATTGAGCTTATTTGTTACTTTTATGATTAAAAACTCAATAGGCTTTAATTGGTTGAGTCAACTTTGCATTTTTTAAAAATCTATTTATTTTTAATTGAAGGATAATTGCTTTACAGAATTTTGTTGTTTTCTGTCAAACCTCAACGAGAATCAGCCATAGGTATACGTATATCCCCTCCCTTTTGAACCTTCCTCCCATCTCCCTCCCCATTCCACCCCACTAAGTTGATACAGAACCCCTGTTTGAGTTTCCTGAGACATACAGCAAATTCCCTTTGGCTATCTATTTTACATATGGTAATGTAAGTTTCCATGTTACACTCTCCATAATTTTGCATTTTTAAAAACTATTTTCATAGTTTTATCTTAAAATTAATGTATACTCATTGTATATATGACTGAACAGTCCTATTCCTAAATATTTGCCCAAGGTGGATGAAAATTATTATCACACAATAAATTGTATTTGCATGTTTTAAAAAAATGTGTACTCATTGTAAAGAACTATAGAAATAGAGTAGAAAGAAGCTTTTTATGCTGTACCTTGAATTATCTTTGTAGGAATAATTTTTAATTTAGTCTGTAATCACATTTGAGCAAACCCAGAGAGATAGTTAAGGACAAGGAAGCCTGGTGTGCTACAGTCCATGAGCTTGCAAAGAGTCAGACATGACTTAGCAACTCAACAACAACAGTCAGATTAATTGGATTCAAATCACAGCTCTGTCACTTAATAGTTGTGTGAACATGGGCAGATGTCTTACCCAGTCTGTGCTTTAATTTCTCATCTGTAAAATGAGAGTAATAATAGTATCTGTCTTGTAAGAGGGTTAAACATGTTATACATATAGAATACATAAAACTGCCTGGCACATAGTAAGTGCTCCATAAATATAATCTATCATTGTTGTGCTATACTATGTAAATTTGAATCATGGTTTTTAAAATTAACATTATTATATAAGCTTCCCCCATTATTGTTATATTTAATGAACTATGTTATTTTATCACGTTATTACTTAACCATCCTCCTCTCATTGGACATTTGCACTATCACCAAACTAAAGCTTTTATTTGTTAGTTTCAGTCAAAAAAAATTTAAATAATACTTAAAATTTTGAGGGCTAATTTATGTTTCTTTGGCTCTTAATTGTAACAGTAAGCATTGCAGTACTAATTCTTAACCAGAACCATGCATCTGAAAGGAAGAATCTTGTGTATGTGAAAACCTGTTACAGTGCTGCTGCTGCTAAGTCGTTTCAGTCGTGTCCGACTCTACGCAACCCCATAGATGGCGGCCCACCAGGCTCCCTGATCCCTGGGATTCTCCAGGCAAGAAAACTGGAGTGGGTTGCCATTTCCTTCTCCAATGCATGAAAGTGAAAAGTGAAAGTGAAGTCGCTCAGTCGTGTCCGACTCTTAGCGACCCCTTGGACTGCAGCCTACCAGGCTCCTCCGTCCATGGGATTTTCCAGGCAAGAGTACTGGAGTGGGGTGCCATTGCCTTCTCCTTGTTATAGTAAACACCCTGAATTACAGTTCTAACTAAAATGAAAATCAGAGTGCTGTGTTGTATTTTATATAGAAAAATTGTAGAATAGGAAAACATTGTTTTAGCCTCAGGTCATTTTAAAATCTGAATGAAATTTTATTTCCCACAGATGGTTGCTAAAGGCTTTTTCCTAGTTCAGACAAAGGAGGTGTCAATGAAAGCCGAAGATGCTCAAAGGGTTTTTCGTGAAAAAGCACCTGACTTCCTTCCTCTTTTGAACAAAGGTACCTTCTGGATGATTGGTATATTTTTTGTGGTTATTCTCTTAAACTGCTGTTTTGACTTACTCTTGCCTTTAGTATTTCTCTTAAATTGTCTTCTCTTTGTCATTTGTTTTATGTTTTTCCTGTTACCATTCAGAAATGTCAAAATTTCACATCATTCAAAATGCCATATATAATTAACTAGACATTAGTGAAGTGAAAAGTGAAAGTGTTAGTCTCTCAGTCATGTCTCTTTTTGACCCCATGGACTGTAACCCGCCAGGCTCCTCTGTCCATGGAATTCTCCAGGCAAGAATACTGGAATGGGTTGCCATTCCCTTCTCCAGCAGTCTTCCCTACCCAAGGATCAAACCTGGGTCTTCCACATTGCAGACAGATTCTTTACCGTCTAAGCCACCAGGGAAGCCCCAAAGACAGATGGAAGGGACCTCATACGTGTGAAGCACATGCTTTACCACTGATCCACAACCCACCCTGCAACTAGACATTAGGCATTAGGTTTCTTCCTTCCCCTGTTCTATCATCTTAGTTCTTGAAAGTCACATTTTATTATTATGTATTTTATCATGTTTAATTATTATTTTATTATTGTTGTATTATTATACTATAGTGAGTGATCATTTCCTTCTCCCTGCCAGTTATAAAGCACTCAATAAGGATTCTTTCTGCCTTCAGTGAGTGTGCTTTGACCATACTGGAAAAGAAATAAGACATATAAATCAAAGGGCATACCATTCTGTGTACTTAACATGATTGATTAAGTTTCTATGCATAATTAGAATTGTTTTCTCCAGTGGGCAAATGCCACCAGTAAATTTCAGATGCTGGAAATATGTCTACAAACAGAGGAACTAGAGTTCATATGTACTCCGAAGTGTTGCTGTTTGTCTCCATGTATTTGAAGGTGTCCTGATTGTGGAAAACAGAGTTCATCAGTCAGAGCAGGGATGTTGTTTGCTGAAGGCTCATCAGGCTTTTCTTGACTGGCCTGAGCAAAATATATAATAATACATAATGATGATTGGATATACCCTGGAAAGGGGGCACATCTGTATTCATATGCTCTTTATGTATAAATAAGTTGTAATAAACTGCAAAAAGCTATAGGAAAATATTGGAGGATTGTTAGGGTAATCTTAATAACTAATGCTGGGTGTAATTCAGCCCTTAAGTATTAATACAGTATATTTTATATACTTTTGGGATTCCTCTGGTAGTACCATAGACTGTCTCTAACCAGTGTATGAATCTAACCAGTGTATATAATCCAGATTATATATAGGAAATTATGACCTGGCTCCTTTGATGCAGCCTTATTGATACAGGAGCATTCTGATGGAACCTTGAAAATAAATCTTTAAACCCTTAGCAGCTTTCAGAAAATTGAATCAAATAATAAGTGTAATAGACATCTGAAAGTGTGAGGATTAGGAATGAAGTGGGCATATGAATAGATCTAAATTAATGATTTATATGCTCGTGTAATGTTAGTGAAGTGGTTTCATAGAATTGCTCTAACCCAACCATAGTATGTGTTTTTAAGTCACATAACATTCCATGTGGAAGAAGTGTTCTGTTCCTGCAAAAAGTAGAACTCAAACTAATGGACAGATGTTTTAAGAATTCCAGCAAATAAATATATAAACAGCTTTTAAAATCAGAGATGTCCATAGGAAATAGTCAGAGACTGATGAGGCCATGTCAAAAGGTCACAGGTGTTGGTATAAAGGAATTTCCACTGGTCAAATTTGGGACAATTTGAGCATCAAAAGATAATGAAGTAGGGAGTGTGGGTTCAATCCCTGTTTAGGAAACTAAGATCCCACATGTCACATGGTGTGCCCCCCCCCAAAAAAAACGCCCACAATAATGAAAGAAATTGATTTAACAACAACAGAAATCCATGCATCCATAGTGGTAATAAAAAAGAGGAGAGAGGAAATTGGCACTGGAACCATGGACCAGCATACCCAGTCAGCTTGGAATCTACCTAACTGTATGGTCTACATGAATATCATGAATGACTGCTAGATAGTCCCATGATCCAGAAGCTTCCTATGTATGTGTTAGTCACTCAGTCGTGTACGACTCTTTGTGACCCCATGGACTGTAACCCACCAGGCTCCTCTGTCCATGGAACACTGGAGTGGGTTGCCATTCCCTTCTCCAGGGGATCTTTCCAAGTCAGGGATTGAACCTGGGTCTCTTGCATTGTGGGCAGATTCTTTACCATCTGAGCCACCAGGGATGCACTCTTCCATTAGCTTGAAATGACCAGTTCTCCAGGACCCCAAATGGTCTCGCAGTAATAATCAGTTTCTCATCTAGGTAATCACAAACAAATCATCTGTTTAAAATTTGTTTTTATAATCTGAGGAATATCTCTATAAAATTCATCAGCCCATGCTTTTTATCTAATTTGAAAAATCAATAGGATTTAATATATTCAGTTAATAAATGTGTATTAAGCCCCTGGAGAAGGGAATGGCAACTCCAGTATTCTTGCCTGGAAAAGTTCATGGACAGAGGAGCCTGGCGGGTCGCCCATGGGGTCGCAAAGAGTCAGACACGACTGAGCGAATAACACACACACACACACACACACACAAGCATCAAACAAAAGGGTGGGCAGGGAGAGAGGGAATAAGGAAAGCTCTTCTGCTCTTTACAGAATACTGTGGGCTAATAAACATAGAATGATAGACTTCAGAAATCACTGTTTTCCAAACCCTGATGTAATAATTAATTCAAAGGTTATCAATGAATGCTAAAATTATTGGGGTAAAAGTTGATGAGAAGTAGGATACACACATTCTAATTCAAATGGGAACTGTACCTTTATATCAGGGTACTTAGCATCAGTGATGGCAGAGCAACCTGGCATTGTATTTCCCCTGATGTGATGGCAATAATATACAACAGCATCTGTTAAGTATTCTTGCCAAAAATATTTTACCTGAATCTAACTGAGCCCAGACTTACCTTCTAGTTTATAAGGAATAAAGGAAATCTGGAGACATGTTAAATGACACCATGAGGGAACAATGAGACAAATCAAAAATGGAAGACATTTTACAAGGTAACTGGCGAGGACTCTGCAGACAACATCCTTGGAAAAAAACAATAGGGGAACTGTTCTGGATTAAACAAAACCTAACAACTAATGAAAGGAATGAACCTTAATTGGATTTTGGATTAGGGTGGGGTGAACTCTAAAGTTGTAAAAGTCATTTTGGGGACAACTGGGGAATTTTGAAGATGATATTATGGAATTATTGTTGTAGCCTTAAGTATGATAATAGTATTGTGGTCATTTATATAGGAGATGCATGCTGAAGTGTTATGATATCTACTATTTTCAAATGGCTCAGCAATGCTAAGTGTGTGTTTGTGCATGTCTGTGTGCATGTGTGTGTATGTGTATAGTGTGTGGCAAAGCAAATGTGGCTAAATGTTAGCATTTGATGGGTATAGGTGAAGAGCAAGGGCTTCCCAGGTGGTGCTAGTGATAAAGAACCTGCCTGCCAGTGCAGGAGATGTAAGAGACATGAGTTCTACCCCCGTGTCAGGAAGATGCCCTGGAGGAGGGCATGGCAACCCACTCTAGTATTCTTGCCTTGAGAATCCCATGGACAGAGGAGCCTGGTAGGCTATAGTCCATAGGGTTGCAAAGAGTTGGACACGACTGAAGCGACTTAACATGCATGCAAGTGAAGAGCAAATGGATGTTTGTCATTCTTCCAACTTTTCTATAATATCTGAAATTTTTCAAAATAAAAGTTGGCCAAAAATTTTAAGCTGCCCAGTGTGCATTGATTGATATGGAATAATGAACAGGCTGTCTGTGGAGATATTCCTGTAGGTGTTGGAGGCATTGGGTCTTTATGTAAAAGTGGCCATCAGTCATTCTAAGGAGAGTTTCTCAACCTCACCACTATTTGATATTTTAGATAATTCTTTGCTGTGATGGGTTGTCCTGTACATTATAGGATGTTTAGCAACATCCTTGGCCGCTACTGACTAGATGCCAGTAGCGCACTACGCCAATTATGGCAACCAAAAGTGTTTCCAGACATTGCCAAATGCCCCTTCAGGGGCTAAATTGCCCCCACTTGCAAACCACTGTTATGAGAGGGGAGGGGAGTAGACTTACCCTTTGGAAATTTTGCTTTTATTTCAAATAGTTTTTTAGAGTCTCTAAATTTTCATCATCAGTTAAAGTAGTCAGAATTATTTCCTTTCAATTAATGAAGCTATTTGACAGCTTAATGAGAGAATTCATTGTGTTTTTCATCCTGAGAATCTTTCGAATCTGACTGATTCTCAGAACTGCATGGGGCACTATTAAAGATTTAAATTTCCAACTCCCACTTCAGGACTGATTCAAATATCTCTGAGATATTCCCTTGGCATCTGCATTTTACAAAGTTCCCCATATGGTTCTGATGCTTAGTCAGATTTGGGTTCCTTTGTTTTAAAGGATCATTCATTCATTTATTCAGCAAACATAGATGAGATATGAGAAGTAGTAAAGGAAGAATCAGATAATATAGGGCCATGTGAGCCACTGTAGAGACTTTGGCTTCTAGTTTGACTGAGATGAGAATCTATTAGACATTTCTATTTTTTTAAATAAACTATATTGGAATAATTTTAGACTTTCAGAAAAGTTACAAAGGTAGTACAGAGAGTTTTACTACTTACCTTCCTCTTATGTTAACATAAGCATGGTACATTTGTCAAAACTTTACATTGGTAAAATACTCTTTATTCAAGCTATAAACCTTATTCAAATTTCACTGGGGTTTTTTTTTTTCACTTATGTCCTTTTTCTGTTCCACAATTTAACTCAAGATCCCACATTGCATTTAGTCATCATATCTCCTAATCTCTTCTAATCTATAACAGTTCCTTAGTCTTTCCTTGTTTTTCATAACTTTGAACTATTTGAACAGTACTGGTAAATTATTTTGTAGAATGTCCCTCAATTTGTGTGTGTC